ATTCAGATGCACGTCTTTCAATGGGCTGAAAGAGTTTTTGACTAGATCAAATAAAATCGTTCAATTCATGTGACCCATATTGATGGGAACAGTGTTTCAGTTTAATTGAATCAAATTTCTTTTTGGAACTGAATGATCATAATTGATGTCAATTCAGTTCTTCGTTGAAAGTGAAACGAAATGAGAACTGATACAGTTTAATGCTCAGTGGGACATCTGTAATCCCGTGCACCGCTCGAATGAATCCTTCAAACTCACCCATCCAAAAGTTCCGTCACTTCCTTGAATTTATGTCTAAACAATAAATGATCGATAACCATTGAAGCGATATTCGATCGGATCTTTTCGTCTTTACAAATTTCACACATAACTTCCGTCAACACACTCGAATCTTCAACAGCACAACATGAATATTTATGATTCACATTTATAGCAAACCTCAAAATTCTGTACAAATTAATAGCAATGCTAACAAGAAGTATATGGTCAACTGAAATCAATTTGAATAGCACTGAATCAATTCACTTGCTCACTAGCGATTAAGCCTAATGTCAATATCCGTAACACTGAAAACATTTCATCTCGTACAGAATTTCAAACATTACTTGTCAAATGAAATAAACAAATTCAAATTTGAAAATAAAAATCATTTCAATGAGAATTTCATATTCTCCATTCCAAAGAATCACTCACTTTTCATGAGTGGTTCCATGAACCACTGCTTTAGAAATCGCATCTCCGGTTGTTCCCATTTGAATAGGGCACTTGCTATATGTACAAAAATTTCAACTTTCTTCTCATTGCTACTATTTGACAACTGTAATATGAAATTATACGTTCTTAAGCAATAATTAATGAGGGAATAATTGTAAATGAATCTCTGCCTAAGCTATTGACTTTATCTGTTGGAAAACGAACTGGTTCTGAAGCGGTAACAAACGATAGGAGCTTATCAATCAAATAGCTAATGTTAACAAAGAAGAGAACAATTATTTGAACGAGCTTTTATACAATGCAATACAAACGTGTAATAAATACTGTACGAAAGGCATGTGGGTTGCTACATCTGAATACCATAATATGTCATGAAAATAAATTCAATTCAAATTACATGGCACTGCATCATAGTGCATCATGAATATCTTTAGAAATTATGATCAAACTTAAATGATTCTGCATATACAATCACTATGCAATAAAATATCGTTAGAAACAATACCGAATTAAAAATTAACCTGATTCAAGGAATGAACGATATACGGATATGCGAGATGTGCGCGTTTACCGAGTCGTTTGAACTCATCACTTTTCAGAAACTTTTCATACAACTCATAGAATCTAGCTCGATTATTCGCCAGTGCATGATCGATAAGAATCCTCCGTGGATTCCTGAATTTAAAAAAATCAATGAAAAATAAAACAACGACTGTCAACGGTACTCATTTCTACAAATAAACGCTTTGAATTGATAATCAATGAACCATTAAATGACGAATCTGGCCACTGAACTTACTTCAATATATCGGCCTGTTCTAACTGAACGCCCAGTTGTATGGATTCAGCAACGTCGCTCGACTGCTTCAATTTATCGAAAAGATAACTTTTGAAGAAATCCCTTTGCGTTCTAAAAGTGCATTCAGAAATCAATATGAACAAAAATTAATTCACTGCTCTAACCACCCAATTGCACAGGCAGTGTTTTCCAAAAGTAAGCAAGAATAAATTCATGATTATCAATCACAGTAATGATAAGTCCGTCCACGACCTAGACATCTAAAACTCGTTGCAATCGAAATCATTTTAATGCATTCAATATGCAGAGTCACACCGTAAAGTGATCATCATTGAAGTGAATGACAGCAATAAGTTACGATTTGAATCCGTTACTGTTCTCATATTGTTCCTTTCCTTCATGTTTCATGAAGTTATGAAACTAGAGTCATGGCACCGCACAGCACTACGTAACGCTTTTCCTTAGTTGGCTAAACTAGCACAGCACAACCACAATTGTGAACGAAAATTTCACCTCGCATATTTCTCAGGTAATAATTTGAATAAATAAATGGCGCCCTCCACATTCGCCTCTTTTTGATCACGATATTGACGTATTCGACCGAGAACTGTCGTGAATTCAATATAATCCGAGAATTTGCCATCTTCATCCAAATTAAGCAAACTTTTCAGCTGAAACACACGTTTTTTTCTGGCCTCAACAATCACAACGCACGTCACTAACTAATCATCTATTTTTGGAAGAAGTTTCGCGGGTTCGGAGAATTTTAAATAATCTCACTGAAATTACCACCAAATACTCTGCGACGATAACAATTTCGAACAGGTCCATAATTTTGCTAAACATTTCAACGATGTGAATCAAGTTCGATGCAAAGTCCCATCGAACGTGTTCTTTACGACAACTGTCTCAGATCAACTCAATAAGTCAACTAAACAAACTGATAAATATACCTTGTCAGCACCGTTCCAATCATGTTTCTCCAATAAAGTGAACAGAATGTTGAGCATTAAATTTGAATTCTCTTTCGATCGGATTCGCAATCGTTCCGAAACACCATCGAATATCTATGAAAAATTGTAGACATAGAATCTCACATCCAATTTTAACAAACTTGAGCAGAATTTAACAGATATAACAATAACAAACTGCTCACAACTGTACAAGACAGAGCTGAAAACATGCTTATATAAGACAAAAACACTAATGATCAATAGGCAAAGCTTCATCCTCTCATATTCCAACAAACAACCTCAAAGATTTACCTTCAACGCGTTATCGATGTCTCCCTTTGAGGCTTTTGCATTCGCATAACTGATACGAAGTTTTGCTTCTTCAGAGAAGGTTTGATTAGTCGTTGAAAAGGACTGAAATATTACACAATTTCCAAATTCTAACATTTAAAACTGCATCAACTTTGAGTGAAAATCTTTAATAAATGTTATGTCAAAGTTTCCACTCGTTTGAAAACTT